TCCTTGAGAATCTCAAGACTTTCATGTTTTATAATAACACACAGACGCAAAATCCAATCCTCCTCCCATTAAAGTACATTAAAGTTTGTCATTGTCATCTCAGTGATAACAAATTCACATCTATTGAATTATACGGTAAAAAGACTTTTATCCTTGCTTGTGATTCTCCATAGTGTACTTTAATTATAGGTATAATTTCATTTGGAACTTTTCTAAAGATTAAGGTACAACTTGAACTCAATATTCTCCAAAGGCAGGGTCCACTCCTGCCAAATTACAAACACAAATACTATTCTACCTTTACCGTATCTTCTTCGTCCTATGCAGTAGCCTATCACAGCATACAAAATTAATCATATTTTTACTACTCAGAGCCCTGTTCAAATCAATGGCACAACACTCCTATTCATTTCCCTAGGACTTTGTGTTTTGCAAAACTACTGCTCCAGCTAGTCAGAGAACAATGCTCTAGTCATATAGGACATGGCAGCAACCATTTTATTCTTACTACGATACAACTTTTTTGCAATATTATTACAAATTATCCTTATTGTGTAAAATCCTATTAAACAAGAAGTTACACACCTCACTCATACTACCAGACTTCATATGTTAAAGATAACATGCAGTAGCCTTATACATATTATACAGAAACAAACCGTCTCTTCTGAAAAAAAAATGCAATTACAATAAAAATGAAATTTCAAAACATTTCTTATTATGGGCATAAATCTTTGTCAGTCTCTTTCAAAAAAAAAAAAAAAAAAACAAAAAAAAACCACTAAACAATAGGCATAGATCAACAAACAAAAAACAAATGTTTGGGGGGAAAATGCAAAAGATTGGCTATGTACCTTAAATCTAAAATATTAAAACAAGTTTACAGGCTGAAGCCCCACAGAACAATTTCACTTAGTTTGTTTTAAAATAACATGACCGCTGTTGAAATCTCATCTCACAGGAGGTGCTTTTACACCTGTGAGAGTTAACGCTGACAATAATACAAAATGAATCCCACTGACGGACTGAGCGTGAGGTTTACTCACATGAGATGAGATTTCAGGAAATGTGTCATAACTTTAAACTTAGGAAAAAAAATACATAATTGATACTAAATCAAAATTTCACCATGTTTGCAAAAAGGCTTTAACTTACTGACCACAATATGAGCAGAATTGATCCCAAAATGTTTATGAAATTGTAAGAGTTAATGCTCATGTTCAGTATCAGATATTTGGACGTAGAGCACATCATCTAATAATGAAGGCATCATTACAAAGATAGTCTTATGAAACAAATGTTTATTTAAACTAATTGTACTTTTTAGCAAGGATGCTGATGAAACTAATTCCTCAAACGTCAGTTCTCCAACAACTGTTTTACATCTCTCTCACAGTAAAATTCCCATCTGGGCTGGCAACTCGTGTGCCAAGTTTCAAACGAACGTGATTTGAAACTGCCAGCATGTGAGACTCTGAAATTCAAGGGAGACACTAATAAAAGGAGACGGATGCTGACAATACATCCTGGTACTCTCGTTAAAATACCTGCGGTTCCAAGTGCTGGATGGATCTGTTTTCATAACCCTCTAATTATTGTAACATGTTTATAACATAAAGTAGCCCTATACCGATACAGAACAACTTAACTGGATCTAACTTGTAAGAAAAAAAAAAAAAAAGCAGTTGTGTCGTAAAGAATGTAGAAACAGTGCTGCAGACAAAACCTTGTTATTCAGAATCCCATTAGTTACTGAAAATATGTAATATAACTTTTGTTGATCAATACTCTCGTGTAAGCTCTAAATAATGTATGATTCCGGTGGAGAAAAAATGCAGCAAATGGTGAGAGAATGTTTCAAATTATGAAGACCGGTATGACTGCTAATCCATAAATCAGGAATTGGAAAGATTGTTGTAATGTGGGAGGGCTCTATTTAATAAAGGTCATTATAACTCCTGGCTCTAGAGCTATAAGATCTAATATCCTCTCTGGTAGCTCTATGATATGCCCATGCATTACTGTTCTTGTTGACAGTCTGTTGCCTTGGAAATATTTCATTATTTCAGTTTTTCCATTTGTAGACCCTTGGCCTTGTGATATGAAGGCCACCCTATTTCATATTTTCGATTATCATTTAAGCAATCTTCTGGAGCTATTTATATAAAAGCAAGTGTTAGACAATGCATATCATCATTTATCACTGCTATGTTTAAGCTCACGCTCTAGAAAGAAATGCCAAAATAAAGGGCTTTTTTCTCTTCCACTGTAAGCCAATAGCACTCTGATATGATGATATGCTTTACAAATCGATACTGGCATATCATGTGCATGACACTTCTGTCTATTTAATTTTCTTGGTTAAATATCCACACAACTGAAAAACCCCAAACTCCTACTGTAACTGTAGCATTTGCTAACACATGCAGTTTAAAAGAAAATCAAATTATGTGTGTAACTTTTCAAACATCCTTTCAAAACCTTGAACAGGTGGAAAAGTTTCAAAACAATCAGATGCCTGCTTGCAGCAAGGACTACCACCTCTCACAGTTGTTTCATAATTACCTTGTGCTGGAAGCAGTAACACAATCCACCTAAATATTGTGGAAAATAAGACCAAACACAGAATGCGTCCCCACAGCTCCCTCCAGGATCTCTCACCCCCAGAACTCCTTTAGGGAGGCAGTAACTAAGGAAGAGCCTGAAGAACCCCTTCAGCGACTGCTGAGTGCCACGGCTGAGGAGCCTGACACATACTGCTGGAAGGATGTGTACAGACAGCTTAAATCAACAGTTAATGTAGGGCTTTGGAACCACATTACTGAATTTTTAAGAAAAAGTACATGCGGGCCTGAGCATTGAAGCACTGCTACAGCTTTCCAGAAACTTTTTTAAAGAACAGTAGACTGGCATTATTTCTGATACAAAAAATGTCCTCAGCCTCTACGTGCAATATTTACACCCACACTGGAACGCTGTGAGGGGCGATAAGAAGGGGGACCCCAAGGGCACAGCGCAGCCGCTCGGCCGCCGGGCCAACTTTGTGGCTACAGTGCTTGAGGAATCCAGACGACTTTTTTCCCCTGAAATCATTACTCCTCCCACTCCCTACAGGGAAAAACCACTCGGATCCAACCTTTAAAATGACAGCACCAGAGCTGAACAAGAAGATGCTATTAAAGGGCATTAAATTAAATACAGTATATCCTCCTACAACTTCAATCAGAATTTCAGACCAAGTGTTATTTAGTTCAGCTCTCAAGTGGAGCAGAATAACAAATCGCGCACTTTGATTTACCTTCTCCGAATGCCAAATGGAGACAGGTGATAAAGAAAGCACTCATGCACAGGCTATGAAGTTTCCCCTAGAAATTAATTCTATCTTCCAGATTCCTATCTCAGAGAAATTCCCAAAATGGCACACAAATATGCTTCTGCCGGAGAGATTACTGAAGCTATCCTGGCGAATGCACTTCACACTAATACAGTACGGTGCTCAGAAAGGAGGCAGCGGAATTGTGTATGGGGGGAGGGACAGGACTTATTGATACAAATTGTTTCCCAACAAAGAACTCTAAGGCAGCAAAGCTGCTGCTGGAAGCGGTGTGAACTCAGCAGAGACCAGATGCTGTCAGAAAGGGGATTTTTAAAAAATATTATAGTCGGAGATGAAAATCTGTAATTTACTGACTTCTGAGAACACACTTTGTTCCCACTGCACGCATCTCCCAATCGGCTGCATGTCAATACAGCCTTGTCCCAGTGTGCAACAGTTAATGCCCACACGCCCTGTGTTCAATGTTTCTGGGCTCAGTTTCTCGTTCGGGGCAGTCTGCCTCCCTTGGAAAACAACAGAGACAGAATCCAGACAGAATCCGCAGGGTTTAGAAGTTGTACGAAGAATGCTGATGCTACTCAAAAACGGAAGTCTGAAATGAAGATTAAAGTGAGCTGGCCCCCTACACTTTGTTTTTGCTGAAGTATTTTTTCAGTGTTGTGAAGTAGAAAGAGAGCAACATGCGGCCCAGCTACTTTTAAAAGCTGTCTAAATGTTAATTTTCATTTTTACAGCAAACAAGGAACCCTCCTTATCCTTCACCCCCAAGTTCACTTCTGAAGGGAAGGAAAGAGGTGGAAGAAGCCATCCCCCACCCCCACTTCTGGACGCAGCTCTCCTCGCAGTGCAGCACCGCAGCTTGGAGCACTTTTTTAAGGAGCACAAAGTAACATCACATGAACTTGTACTCTTCTTTCCTCCTGGTCACTTCTAGAAAGATTCACTTCGCTACAACAGATCCGCTATGGGCGATCCTTGTCAGCAGGGCAGCGCGTACACAGCGAGCGCTCTCCCCAACAAAAGTCCCAAGGCCGGCCGGATGGAGCCCCGCGCCCCTCTTCCCATCGCGCGGCTCCCGCCCGCTCGCGCCCCGGCACCGCTCCACCCGCCCCGGGGGGCGCCGGCACCCTCCGGGCTGCAGCGGGGCTGGGCCGGGCCGCGGGGGCCGTCGGCGGCGCGGCCCCCCCGCTCCGGCCTAGCTGCACTTGAACGGCACAGGCGGGGCCGGCCCCTCCACTCCGGCAAGCCGGGCCTGGCGCGGCGCCCCGATGCCCCCCCTCCCCCGCCGCTCTCGGGGCCGCCGAGCGGTGGGGGCCGCCCGAGGGGGGGGGGGCTCCGCGCACACACACACACACGCAGACACGCACACCCGCTCGCCAACGCGCCCTGCCGAGCGGCGGCCGCTGCGAGCCGCGGCGGTAGGGCTGCGGAGCGGGGCTGCCGCCGGTCGCCCTGTGTCGGTGCGGCGGTGCGTGCGCGGCGGTGGCGGCGCGGGGTGCGGCGGCGCACTCGGAGGAACTCGCGGCGCCCGGCGGGGCGAGCGGCGGTGCCGGCGGCGTCCCCCCCCCCGCCATGGCAGCCAGCCCCGGCCCCGGCGGCGGCGCGGCCCGGTGCTGCTGCGGCTGCGGCTGCTGCTGCAGGTTCAATAAAGAGAAAGTGTTACCGTTCTCGCCTGGAAGGATCCTGCTGAAAGCTTGGCTTGGTGGGCGCCATCTTCCTGGCTTTTTTTTTTTTTTTTCTTTCTCTCCCTTACTTTTCCCCCTCCTGATGTTGGTGTGTGTTGTGTGTCTAGCAGCGGCAGCGGTGGCCCTGCTTAGCCAGACGGGCTAAGGAAAAGTACTGAGGCCAAAGCATAGCGGGCTCCCGCTCCTCCGCGCGGTCCTGCTGCAGGTTGCTCGCTCGCTCGCTCGCTAGCGCTGCTGCTGCTGCCGCTGCCGCCGTCCATAAGCCGAGGAGCGGAGAGAGCCGGGGCCCCGGCGGCCCCAGAGACATGCCCAGCGCGGGCGGCGGCGGCCGGCGACGGCGGGGAGAGCGAGCCGCGGCGCAGCCCCGGCGGGCAGCCCGGCCGCTGGCATCGCCCGGCAGGTGCGGCACGGCCACGCACACACGCGCGCACACACACAACGCAGCCGCTCGCACGCTCACACTCGCGGCCCCGCGCCCTTGGGCCGGGCTACGAGGGGTGCCGGGCCGCTGGGCTAGCGGGGCGGGGGCGGAAAGGAGGGCAGGCGGGGATCTCCGCGCTTGACCGCTGTGAAAGTATTTCTGGGCATTTTCCAGCTGCTTCCCCGACTCCGCTCCCGCTCTGCGTGCAGGGGACGCAGCCTCCGCTGCCGGCGCAACACCGCCACTCAGTTGCAGTTTCGCACACTTTCCTCCTCCGGAGTCGCGGCTCCGGCGGAGAGAGGTGCTGAGGGCGGGGAGGCGAGGGATCTCCGTGGGCGCGGAAACCCCGCTGGCTCACTCCGCGGCCCCCGACGGACCGGGAGCGGGCGGGGGTCCGGCACCGAGCAGGCCCCGCGCACCCCCCCTCTGTCCGGGGCCGAGCAGTGGGGCACAGCGCTAAGGGGAGCGGGGAGGTGCCCCGCTTTGCGGTGGGGATGCATTGCTGTGCGCAGTTTCACCGGGGACTGTGAAAGTAAGCAGGAAATTAAGGAGCGGGAAAATGGAACCGCTGTCCCAATTGTCTCATCCAGGACACCTGGAAAGGACAAAGCTACAAGCTCTCCATCCCCACGGTAACTTTGTAGCTACTTCTTGCCGCTGCCCTGCAGTGCAGCGCCCCGGGCCAGACTCCCCGGCGGATTCGCGGGGTAGGGCTCAGCCCGGCACCCCCACGGGACACCTCCCCGCGGCAGCTCCGGGGGGGGCGGCGGGGAACGGGCCGGCAGAGCAGCGACTGTGGGTCCGCGGCCCGGGGAAAGGCGCGCAGGTGCGCACCGCCGGCGGGAGCGGGGCCGCGAGCCCGAGGAATGTGCAGGAGGGGCACGGAGAGAGGGGGCTGCGGGTGCCACGTGCCGGCTCCTCCCCGCACGGCTTCTGCCTCGGCTCCAACAAGGAGGAAAAAAAAATAATAAAAAAAAGTTAACAGGTGTCACCTCGGTTTGTGCAACCGCGGAAGGAGGTGTCGGTGCCCGCTGTGGTTTAAGCTTTTCCAGAAAGCTCGGAGAAAAATCGTTCGATGTAAAGGACGCCGTCGTGTCGGTAATAATTACAATTTGGAAGAAGCGCAGAAATGTTTCCGAGACACCCGGCGTTCTGCGGGGTCCGAGTGGCCGCTGCTGCGGGGCCGCACCTGGCCCGGGGCCGTCACGGTTTGGCAGAGCTCTGCCCTTGGAGCTACCCCTACTCGGAGCCTGACGCAACCCAACTCCCAAACGCCGAGCACTACAAATTCGCACGCTGCTCGTCTGTATATTTCTGTTTAACTTAAAGTCTCCAGAGGTCCCTTTTATTTGTCTTAAAGCCAGTGTGACATTTCTGACCCCTGACTTCCCCACTTCACAGCCTTAACTATTGTGATCGCTGCCCGTACTTCCTCGTTAAAATGCCCGTCAGTTTCCATTGTAATTTAAAGATTTTATAAGTGACAAAAATCATAGCGAAACCGTGAAAAGAAACCAACTTTAATCCGCTCCTTCCCTCTCTCCTGGCCAAGACACTGTGTATGGGGACGGTTGGTGGCAAAGAAGGACTCAGGCTTAGTTCAAATGATTCTAAGGAGGTGGTGGGGCAGTACAGGGGCTGTTGCAGAATATTAGTGCTCGTGCCTTTCCCTTTAATAAAACCCACAAAAGTTAGCACCGAACATTTTCTGTCATGGGCATCAGAGGGAAAACACAGTGTGTGTTTCCCAAAGTAAGAGAGGGGAACCCAAAGTTGCTGAAGACCAAAGCAGGCACTGCTCTGTCAGGCTTCTAAAACATTTGTTTAAAATACAACATTAAAACTTTCTATGGTTTTAGTTTCTACGTTACAGGGAGATTTAGCTGAAGTATTTGTTATTACACTGCTTTTTTCTCAGGATTTATTTAGTATTGAAAAGTCAGATCGTTGGGACATTATTGCATTTAGAGGAACGTGAATGTCTCGCTCCGATCTCAGCCTACATTGAGGTGTTGTCAGTACTTTTATGAACACTCCGCTCTCTCCCGAGCTGATGGAGGACCCTCCCAGAGCCCGACTCCGGGTCTCGCCCTGCACAGCACTGCGGGACCCCGACCTCAGCCCGCAGAAAACTCAGGCAGTGCCGGCGCGGAACGAGGCTGATTGGGATGGTGGGAACCCCTCTGAACTTCGCTGCGAGTTCCTGCCAACTTTGTGCGCTCCGCTTCCTAACGGCGCCTACCCTGCGAATACCCTGTATTTGCATCAGAATGCGTTTAGGTTGGAAAAAAAAAAAAAAAAAAAATAGCAGTGCTGAGGGGTTTCGTGCTGCATTTCCCTGTAGTAACAGGTGACAGAGTAAAGCTGTTAACCTACAGTGTGGAATTGCAAGTGTGCAACCCCAAGTGAAAATTGGTCTCTTTCTTGCTTGAAAGCAAATTCTCAATCGGCATCCCGGGATCAATTGTCCCCCTGGCTGCCACACACTGGGATCTGCACAAGGCATTGACATTGAGAAATTCCTCTTTAGAAAGGATGAGCGGACGGGATCCCAAACTTTGCAGCGGCCACGCTACGCGACCGTGCTCGCACTTTTTTCTTTTTTTTTTTTTTTTTCTTTTTTTTTTTCTTTTTCTTTTTCTTTTTTTTTTCCCCAGCTATTGTTGCTTTCCAGTTCATCCGAGAAAAAAACTGGGAGATTGCGTTTACTTCTCAGTGCATTTTAAAAGATGCTGTATTAAAAATAAAAAGGAAGCAGGAAGGAAAAACTCCCCTCCCACCAAGCTACCCCCCAACAATCAAACGGCAAGATTTTTTTTATATATGAAAAGAAAAAAAGAGAAAACAAAGAAACACAAAAGCACAAAGAAAAAGCAAGTGGGGGAGCTCCGAGAAGAGCCGCGCGCCCGCTCCCGCCCGCTGCTCACCGTTGTTGGTACGAGGTGATGCCCTGCACGTTCTGCGGGTTCCCGTTGGCCGCCGCTCCGGCTCGCCCCATGCCCGGCGCCGCCGGCACCCCCCCGGCCGCCCCGCCGGCCGCCGCCGTCACCTGCACGCTGAAATCCGGGAAGATCCTGATCATCCCCGCGGCTCAGCACCCGGCGGCTCTCGGCGAAGAGGCACAGCGGCAGCGGCTCTCCCTCCGGCGGCTGCAGCGGCGGAGCCGGGCACGCTGCAATCCCATTAGTGAGTGGCGGCCGCTGGGAGTGAGGCAGGGCGCTTTGATGTGAGACGCCGGGCGAGATGGAAAGGGGTTGGGGGGGCGCGGGGTGAGGGGGGACGATGCCGGGCTGCGAGGGCCTGGGGGGAGGGGAGCAGAACTAAAAAAAAAAAAAAAAAAAATTTCCTAAATTAAAAAAAGAAAGAAAAAGGTACGGCTAACAGCACGGCGGCTGTGGATACAGAGAAAATCCAGACTGAGGGACGGGAGGAGAGGGGGGCGCAGTTACTTTGGCGGTGCGGTGGAAATGATGAGCAGCGAATGTTGCCTTTTTCCCTCCTCCTCGTCCCTCCACCTCCCCCTCCCCCCCGATCTCCCCCCCTCCCCAAAACGCGACTCTTGGAGGATCGCTCGGGCTCAATGAAGTAATAAGAAAGGCGGCGGAGCGCGGCTGGGCCCGCGCCAGGGGGGAGGGGGAGAGCCCCGCTCCGGTCCTGAGGAGAGGAGGAAGAGCGGCGGATGGTTGCTGCGCGAGTTCTCGCTCTTGGTAACTTGCTTTTGCTTTTGCTTCCCCCTCTTCCCCCCCTCCCCCCCAACCCCCCTCCTTTCTCTCTGAAGGGACGGTTTTCTCGAGCTAGGAAACGCGCCGCTTTTGTGCAACGGCGGAGTTTGTTCCTATTATAGGGAGCTGACTCTCCTCCCCTCCTAGTGTGCAGCAATGTTATTGCCGCTCAAACTTGTAAGGTGTGCGCCGTGCGTGAGCGCACCGATCACACCGCGCGAAACCCTCCGCAGGCGGCACTCACCGCGCCGAGCCCCGCGCCTCCTCCCCGACCGCCCCGCGGGAAGAGCGGGCTCGGCGCCTTTGAGCCGCCGCCGCCTCCCCGCCGGCGCTCTCCTCCCGGGCCCGGGTCGTGGGGGACCCCAGCCGGGAACTGCGGGTCCGCAGTGCGCCCCAGGGTCAGGGAAGAGCGACATGAGGGCCCTTCCCGCGGGAGGGTCCCAGCGGATCTCCCGGCGCGTCGGGGCGCTCCCGAACCACGGATCTGCAGCTCCGTTCTGCTGCGTGCCGGAGCGAAAAGTGCGTTGCCGTGCACTTTGTAGAGCAGCGAGGGGACGTTGCGAGCCAGGCGCGCGGCAGTGCACCTTGCACCGCAGCAGCCCGCTGCCGGCTGTAGGCCGGGGAAGAGCGGCTCACAGCGCTCCGGGGCGGGACAAGACGCCGGGAGTGCCTCCGCTTGCGCGGTGTTGTAGGGGCCCCGTCGCCCCGAGGGCACCTCATCCTCAGCTTCCATAAATTAGAGCTGTCACCTGGCCCCATCTCTCCTTTTCCCATGTGTGCTTCCTGGAATCTCAGCTTGGCTCCTAATCTAACGGTATCCTCTCATCTTGACTTCTCTTTGCATTTCTGCTCCAAACCAAATTAAGACGCACTAACTTGATGTTAAAACAGAGACTGCATTCAAATCCTTTGTATTAAATAGCATCTGTGTTTGCATTCTGTTTTAATACAAAATGCTTTGGATTGCAGCTAATACCAGGAGATATGAAACTGGTTAGTCCCCACATGTTGCACATAAAAAGAATTCATAATGAGCATCTGTGGGATGTGGAATGGATCCCATGAGTTAGCTGAAGACCTCATAACGTAAGAGCTGAGAAGCCTAAGTGAATTATGACTCTCTTTCCTCACAAG